TAACAAAGTATACAGTTTATGAAAACTGAGGTAAGAAATATGGAGAATGTTGAGGATGGAGGCATAAGCAGAGGACCTGCAATTATTAACACCTGTCAGAAGATGAAAAATAGGTCAAGAAAACTTGTAACGTTTCACTTTGTAGACTTTTTTATTTTAAATAATGAATATATATGATAAGGCCCATCAAAAATTCTATTGGATGGACTAAATGGTAGGTATAAATGTTTTTCCAGCAGTACAACCATCTGAAGCAGTACAGGCTGCTGCTAAGGTATACTTTTCTTTTTTATGCTACTTTGCCAAAAAAATCATAAGGCTGCAGCCACCTCTGCAGTAGCGTAACTGCTGCTTCAACTCCCCATCACTGTTATGTGTCACTTGCTCTTGTTGCTCAACGTTTTGTTTTCTTTATTCCTGAGTTCTTCCCCTAGCAATGCAAGTTTTGAGTCTCTTAGTTAAGCCTCTTTGTTCATTTCCTTAGAACTCTCAAATCTCATCTAAACATAAGCCACAAAGTTGTTCTTGGCAGCACTAACATGCATTTGTTCTAATTTGTTTTTTGTTAATTGAATTTACTGAATCCTATGATAATCAATCAAATTACAATTTTATATGCTGGTCCTTCAGAAGATGACATAATGAAGATCTATAGTTATCTTTTCTTTTCTTTCAACCATGGCCAAAATTAAATTTCTTATCCGTCAATAGCTATAAAAGTTGTGGTAGGTACATAGTAATGCATGTGTTTATATCTCTTTATACCCCCTCTTGAGCACCTCATACACCATAAAAATAGCATCATATTTGAAGGAATTGCCATCCCTTCTGGCAACTTCTGTAGGGACAGTAGACTACATAAGTAGGAAAATTTTGAACAGTTAAATTACAGTAAATACAAGTTTAAACTCTGAAGTTGTTAAAATCTTACTCACTGAAGCATTACATTACACTGAAGGTTCGGTCAGCCATTTCACTCTTAGAAGAGAAACAGCTCCACAAAAAAAACCACAGGAATGCAACTAGCTGCAAACAGCAGCCACGGCAAATGTTCATCTAAGTTCAAAGCTTCCTGACCACGAATTTTTAAATATAATTCAAGATCAAAAACATTTCTCCCCCAGCACATGGGTTTTGAATATCATAAACAAAAACTATAGTGATTCATAAGACATGAGAACATATCAACTCTAGAATTCCTTTCTAAGCTCCCACAGTGTTTTCCAAAGCGCGTATAGCATTACATTCTGGTTTAGCAGAGAGGAAAATAAGGAGACATCAAATACAGTAGCCTATCACTGTTTTGATAAAACACTGCATTATACTTGAAAGCTTTAACTATTAATTCTGCATTTTATCTTTGTGCACTTCCTCAAGTTTATGTGAATCAGTTTTTGTTTGTATGCTATTATCTAATATGTTTATAAACATAAAGATGAAAAACATTTTATGGGAACAGCCTCCTATAAAGTACTTACTACAGGATCCTTCAAAAATTAGAGGAAAAAAGCTTGCCTTATTTGATTTTGGAGAAACTTACTCCCGCCTCAATTGTCTCACTTGAACTTTTTAGAATTTCTGAAGGGAAAAAAAAGTTTCACAGCCTTTGGTCATTTATTAAGATTCTTATTATCAAATTCTAATGTTAGAGGTACCAGTAGAGATGAATGTCCGGCTTCAAAGAAATTAAAGGCATTACGTAAAGCAGAACACTGATAAGTTAGTGATTTGAGGCATGAGGATAGATTTTAAGGTATCATTTCTTCTTTCCTTGGGAATTAACCTTACTGAAACTGGCACATTTCCAATAATTAGAAACATGAAAATGCAATTTGGACAAGCTACATACTATCTCGCTGAATTCTCTCTGCAGGTCAGATTAAATTTTCTCTCATCTTCTGCTTATGTGCTATATACAGTTTCTAAATATCAATAGCAGCTGTTGAAGCTCTTTCTCTTTTCCTGAGCAGTCCTCTCAAAAATAAGAAAGGTGTTTCCATTTTGTGCATTACTTGTGAGGTTTCTAAAACAGATTATGTGCTGTATTAATTTGCTAGGTAAGTCACAGAATCATACAATGGCTCAAGCTATTTAATTTATTCTTGCAATTAAAAGTAAAGAAAAGCAGGAGTGTACTATAATGAACCCAGAAATAAAGCAACAGCACATTAGGACAGTAATTTTAATGTTCTTGGTGCTAAAAAGTCATAAATAAACCACATAGGAGAAAATAATACAAAGATCATAAATACCTGTTATTTTAATGTTACATGGAAGACCAAATGGATACTTTCCCACAACTCCCACTTCACCATTCCAACTGAATTCACATCCCAGATCAAATGGCTGCTCCATGAACTAAAATAATGCAGAACAATTCAGCTTTATTGATGCACATTTACTTGCTTTTTTGTTTCAGTGCTCCATTACTACTGCATTCTTTATCTTGTTAGATGCTGCTCAAAGCCTTAATTTGAATTAACATCCGATTTTTTTAAATTGGAAAAAGGTAAACTTAAAAGGTTCACCTGTAGTTCAGGTTCAAATCAAACAAACTTCCATGCCCATCATTTTCTAACCATAACATTTTTTTGTAACTACAGACTGTGCATAAAAAGCAGCACGCTCTGGTCTAGCATATGTTGAAATGCCTGTCCAGCCCTATTTCTCATGTTTTGCCACCTGTGACTGGCAGAGCTAGAATTTTCTGATAGTGCATCCATTCATATCTTCAGGCTGTAAATAGACATAGGCAAGGATTCTATCCTTTGACACAATCCCCATGTACCTATGCGATGTTAAAGTATATTAATGATTTGTTACCACAAAATAGCATGGACCATATGAAAAATTTCCCATTACCTGTTCAGAGATAGCCTGGAAGTTATAGAGCCTGACCAAACCCATGCTATACATTACAATCAGGATTCCATTAGAAATAGCAACGTCTGTTACATTGTTACCAAATACCTGTAAAAAGAAAAATATTCTATTAAAGAACAAATAATTGAGAGAATGAAAAACCCAAAATTAAGGATATAATCTCAGTAATTAGATTCCTTTTCCTATAACCAAAGTTTTAGTTTAAGAAGGTTTCTGTAGCTCATGTGTTCTGCTGAGTTTCTCTAATACTCTGCATTGCATTATCATCTGTGTCAGGTAAGTCATATTCTACAAGAACATTCTCTAATTAATTCTGAGTATATCTTCATATCACGTTACCCAGTTATTACAAGACATGAATAGACTGTATTGCCCAGCATCCCACAGGAAGTCAATAGGAAAGCTAACAGTTCAATATAAAAGTGCTGATTGCAGAACCTCTCCATCACCAGGTTAAAATACTACACTAACCATGCCTCTGTGACTGTACAGCTGTACTAAAACTAAACTATCCAGCTGTCAAGAGTACAGATCCTCTCTGAATCTAAATTAGACACATACATGAAAAGCTGATTACCCCTTTAGAGATTACGCAGTGTTCATTTGTGCTACTCTTTAGAACATCTCCACTGGAAAAAAAAAAAAACAAAAACAAAAAAAGGAACAAACTGATTCTTAATATTTAATGACAACATGTGAAGTTGGTAATTTTTTTATACTGAGATGTTTGGAAGACCAGAGTTTTCTTTTTTTTTTGAATTCAGAGTAGCTGTAGGAAGAAACAAGTAAAACAGGCTTAAAATCAATTAAAGAAAAGAAACCCAAAGGCTGGAATACTCCTAATTCTTATCCATATCTTTCAGTTTGGTCCTGAAAGATAAATTCACCTCTGAGACCTTTCTTTTTTTTTTTTTTTTTTTTCTTCTTTTCTGTTGAAATTCGTTTCGGTCCTAGTGTCTTCCAGCCCAAACTCTCTTTACCCTTGACATAAAGGATAAAAAGTTCCAGTCTGAACTCAGACTTTATTGTGGCACACCACCTCAGTAAAACTGTTGCATTATATGCATTCTATAGTATTCAAGAGTAACTAATCCTAACTGTAATTTAACAGTTACACCCTACCGATCCCTGTCAGGCTTAGCATTGCATTCACTAGTTATTTCCTTGGATTAACATACTCTCAAATTCCAAATTCAACCCTGACCTTATTCCTAGTAGTAACAGTTACTCTGATAAACAGTACAGGCCTAATTGAAGAATTTTTTTTTTTGGTTTTTTTACATTTTGCTTGCTATGACCCTGATGAATCCAGCATGCCATCCATGAAAAGATGGAGAATACCCCTGATATGGGTAGAATTTGTGCTTTCCAGTCATAAATGCTAAGTTTAAACAGAACAGTGCCCCTACCTAAACTTGCACAGGTCCAAACAAAAAATGGTTAAACCTCCTCTTCCACTTCCCAGCCTTAGCCAAACCCAGCATGAGCTAAAACCCACTGGTAACTCTGGACCCCAAATGAGACTGTAGCTCACAGAACTTCGAAGACAGGTCCTGCACATTCGTACTGTTCCACTTGTAAGATTTATCTAGAACACCTATGACTTAAAATATTGTTTTAACCAGAACACCAGAATTTCCATCAGCTTGACGATTTAAGTGTTTGCTTATGTAGGTCACAAACCAACCTCAGGAAGGTTGTTTCCTCTTGTCTGATAAAGACATATTTATACTGTACCATTTGGTATCTATGATAATGCAAGTTGGAGTCATTTGTAACTGTGTATAGAATCAATAGACTATTACTAGAAGTGGGTGAGAAGCGTATCTACGTATGAAGAGGTGAAAAGAACACTACACTCTACACTTCTCTAGCCTTTAATTACAGCAACTGTAGAACTGAAGTTCAACACATCAACAAGTAACCCAGTAACAATTCATTAACGTTGCCTCTTCTGAAATTAAGATTCTTCCCCCAGTGCTTCCAACTATCAGACACTAAAAGAACATCACTGTTCATTAAAAAAAGTTGTGTCCTGAAACATTAAGTATGACTTCTGAAATTGTGGGACAGTTGCCTAAATCATGTCTCTCATACAGCTACAGTGCAGAATAAAATTACCTTTTTGTTTATTTCTAGCATTCCAATAAATGACAGAGGCAAGACTTGGAAGACAGCAAGATGGAACAGTACAGACTGTTGGATACCTGCCTGGGAAAGAAAAAGCAATGAACACACATTATACTTGAGGTATTTACTGGCATTAGGATGTCTTTATATTTTACCATAGTAGCAAAGTACAATGTCTCCATATCTGTCCCTGTAAATTTGTGACTGGAACAGATTTTCAACAAACTTACCTGCCGTGCTGCTGCAGGGAGTTTATTCTGAGCTGACTTCACAACCATTACTTCTTGAGGAGTATCCCAACTTAGGTACCTATTTGTGATAACAAAGACCTATCTTAATCACTGTAAAATCATTTAATAATAAATACACTATTTCATGCAAAATTTAACCAATTGTAATTAGGCGGATCCCTGCGTCCAGGCAAACTGCTCAGTATCTGACTGGAGAAAGGCACCTGAACTGTTTGTTCTTTTCAATAATGCAAAAGCCACTGGACTAGATGCCAAGAACAGCTTATTCCTTATAGAGTTGTGTAAAAACTTCTGAAAGTATGAACATTCACTGTCTTATTTTTATTCCTTCCCTTCACAAATCACCGCTTTCTTATTCTTCAGTCTAAAGATGACTTCCAGGAACTCAAAAAACCATGCACCTTGCCAGAAGCAGTAACTGCTGTGCTTTTAAGAATGAAGTGGATAGGGTACCCTATGGAGAAGAATGTTCGTAAGTTGAAAACTGCTTACTTTAACCTTTAAGCATATTTTTCTTATGTTTTATGAAGTTTGCTTTGCATTCTTAGAACTTGCTGCTGGTATGTTGTTATTGCACTATCAAAGGCTATAAAATCATCAGAGAAAAACTAACAGTAGTAGTCTCTGTTGGATTTTTTTGTGTGTGTGGTTACTTTTAAAGTACAAGTTACTTTTGTGGAACTTGATACCAAAATTGAGACAGTAATACTTAATTTGCTGAAGTGATTCTAAAGAAAACAGAGCAGGAAAAATACTCCAGGAAAACTGCTAGACAAACAAACCTATGTATGATTGTGTTCCTAAGGTTTTATGAGCTGTCTTTCCCTCTAAGACACCCAAAAACTATGCATCCTCTGATCTGCAGGGAGTGTTTTAAGGTAATCTATTTACATAATATTCAATCACCAGCAGCAATGAAAAATCTGGGAAGTCATGGTAAAGTTTGATGAGGAACTTGGGACTTTGCTCTTTCCCCCCATTCTGTATTTGCAGCAAATTCCCTCCAATTAAAAAAAATTTTTTATAGTCCTTTGTAGAGGTTACCCTCCCAGAGGAATCATCAAATCAAGATTTTCTGAATGCACAAAAATTGGACAGCTTACTATACTGCAAGATAAACATGATTCCTCTTCTCCAGTTTAATACTAATGACTGTTAGCTATATAAACCTTAGCCAATGTTTAATACCTGAACTTGCAGCAGGAACCCGCAAGGTATACTTTTTCCAGTATTTCCCCACAATCAGCAGAGAGACGTAGAAGCCAGTTCTGCACTGTTAAGACTATAAGGGAAGGTTTATAGTCTGATGCATTTGGTAGCATTTCCCCCTGTGTAACCAAAAGTTTATCATGAAGAAGTTTGTATCAGGATGTTACATAACAACAAGACAGAAATAAATACACAGTGCTCAAAAACTAAAGATGGAAAGCTTCCTGATAATCATATCAGAATCTCTTAAGTTCACGTCTGTGCTTAATAATCAGCTGTTACACAATTAATTTGATTCCACGCTTTTTGCATAGTTCTGTGGACAGTGCACAAGTGAAAAAATCCTCAAGAAGGGGAAATGTTCGCTACAAATAGTCTAAGGAGACTAAGCTCTTACAGCTTAGAACCGAGCTAAATCAGTCACATATGAGCACCCACAAAGACCTTTTCTTATGAAACAGACAAACTGTATTAGAACTATTAGTTGCTTCAGGAAAAAAAACACAAAAATGTAACCCAAGAAGAAGAGAAAGAATGAGAAGTCTAACAGTGCAGCATCAAATATGGCAAGATTTTAAAGCTATGGAAAAGATTATCAGTTTGAAGTCAAATGGAAAATCCATTTGTAATAGCAATGAACAGTTTTGACTTTGAACTAAAAGACATTCAAATTGCATGATATTACTATACCATAGGCACTAAGAACAACACAGAAATACTGATTGCATTTTTCATTTCTCTTCCCTTGTGTGTTCCAGACTACATCTCAGCAGGGTGCTCCCAAGTACAAAATATTATAGTTTAAAATTCCACCAGGTGAATCAGATGTTTCAAACCAAACAAAATAACCCATGGATGAAGAAATACTTTTCCTTCTCTTTACAGTGCTCAATGAAAAATGGCTAATTGAATTGACTAACTTCTCTCAAATTTTACCTTTTTTGTGAGAAAACAGAACAAGCTTCAGTCTAAATACTGCAGCAAGACTATCTATGTATGAGTATTTATGAATGTAATGGAAGAAAGGAGGAAAATTAATTAAAATAATTAACTAGAAAGAGGAGAATAGCTTGTGGACAGTTACTTCAATAGGCCTTTTTTATATATAAAATGTTAACATCTGGTTAAGAAAAAGAAAACTCCCATTTACTGCCCTTGATAACTCAAAAATAAACAGAACAGAATTTATGTTGTAAGGAATTAGAATTGAGTTGCATAAGCATAAAGGCACAATTTTTAAAATCTTCCACAGATGTTCATGAAAAAGCACTTAAATGCACTGTTGAAAAATTCAGAGTATACCCCTAAGCATACATTCTGTCAAAATAAGTGTAAGATGCAAACCTTGGATGACTTTGCTCACAAAAAATGTTGACAAAAACAGTTAACAGGGAAAGAATGCTCTATTCTGAATCTGTTCCTCTTGAAAGATATTAATTTGTTTTTGCAAAACAATGCTCTAGTAAAAAGTATTCTTACCAGTGGGCATTCCAATAATAAAGCATCTTCTATTTTTTCTGACTTAGAACACTTTGGCTTTTGATAAAGTATTCTTGGCTCTTGTGCAATGCTGGAGGAAAATGATTGCTAATCATTAGTCTACTTTATAAACTACTTTCTATCACAAGTAAGTTCATACACTTATATAAATACTACTCTTTTGGTAAGTCAGAGATCTACATGCCTTAATTTTCCTTTGTAAATGCTATCTGAAATTGCTCTCAAAGTAAGGCTTATAAGTAAATGTAGTATAAAGTAATGCTTAAAACCAAACCTTTGCTAAGTTTTTGTTAAAGCAAGCAGAACAAGATATACTTAATAGTACTGTTGTTACTTTAGTAATATCCATTAACAAGAAAACATATTCCAGAAACTAAGAATCATATTGAAACCTTCCTCTAAAGTATTTCCAGAGTTCCCTTTCCTAATACAAAGGGATGGCATAATGTACAGACATTTTTAAAAACCTGATACTAGCATAAAATCTTCATAGTTTTAGTTTTCCCCTTATGGAGAAGTTGAGATAAAGATAAACCTTCAAAGACTTTTATGTTTCATATTGCACCGTCTCAATATTGTTTTGACCATGGCTTACACCAGTTCTCCTAGTCCCTACTCCTTTCCCACGTGGGACGGGTGAGGACTGATGTGAGCGGGACCCACCGGCCCCTACTCTGCCCTGTGCTGCTTCTGAGCTGTGCCTCTGCAGCGTTCATGGAACAGGAAAGCATGTCAGAGAACTGATCTGCTCAAAAGTAAATTTCACTCAGCTCACAGGGACAGTTGAGAAGGGTAAGGTTTGCTATATGTTTCAAACAGTTGTGATGTTAGAACTGCAAGCCAGGTCAACTTTTAATTGTAAATGTATTACCTGCTGATACAGCATCGGTAGTTGTCTAAGTAAATTCTTCCTCTTTCATAAGCAATAGGAGATGCAGAGTGCGTTGTCCAAACATTCTTGAATTTAGTACTTTCCTGAAACAGACAGAGGCTACAACTGTGATGGACTTGTGAAAAAAATTGCATTTGGAAAATCCTTGCTTCTGCAGCTTGATAACTGAGTTTAATGGAACCTTTCCTTTTGTATGACTGTGGCAGTTTTTTGGGTTTTTGTTTATTTTTTTAAACAAAACACTTTTTAAGAGAAGACTTCTCTTTTTTAAAAACTAAATTAAAGTAAGTCTTTACTAGCTTATGCACAGCATGTGCAATTAACATTTTGTTAATTGCCTCCATTAGAACTGTCAATTTTCATGCAAAAATATTAATCAAGGATAAAATCCCCCTCTGTGTGAATATGCACGTACCATTCCTTTATACATAAGTAATTGAATTTACTGAGCATCGCTTCCACTTTACTCTTGGTGACTGCTATAAAAGGTAGAAAGGCTGTCAGTACGGTTATTTGCAACATCAGCTGGAAGTGGCTCATTCTCACATAGATGGTTAAAGGTGCCTACTGCAGACACCAGCAGCAATATCCCCCTAACACAGTCCTACAAAACATAAGCATTTGTATAGGCCAGAGGGATGCCCTCACATGCCCATTCATCTGGCTGCATTAGGGGCTGCTAAATTCGGATAGTACATTTACTGGAAATCAGCTGTAACACAGCTGCCCACTGTCTGCCACGCCAGCTGTCAGTGCAGGGCTGTCAACTACTGCACAGCAGCTTTAATCATTCTTAAATGAAACACAGTCTACAACTGGTGTAATTTCTCTATTTCTGTAACAGAAACGTCACTGACACGCTAAGGGTATGCTTGTTTACCTGCAGACCTCTGCTGATTTTCCTTTGAGAACTTCCCCAAAACGTTACAGAATTAGTATTAGCCATCTTAAGGGATGGAAGAAGCAATATAAGATCTCCTAAGAGGCAATTTCTAACATGAACACGAGATTTACAAGCGCTTCTGCTGTTTCTTCACCACGGTACTCCGTAGGTTTCTGAGTCTCCCTAAATACAGGTACCCGTTTATAACTCTCTCGGCTGCACTTGTATTCCCTTCCCAGACTTGCTAGCGCGACCCAGCGACTTCCGAAACGCGCGTCCCACTCGCGCCGCCCTTACCTGGCAGAGGATGGTTCTCAGAAGCCCCATGTTCTTCCGGAGGGCCACGCCGGCGTCCCGGGCGTAAAACCCGCGGGCCCTGCGGCTGAGCAGGCGGCACACGTTGGGCGCCCGCGGCGCGGCCCTCCTGGCGACGGCGGGGCACATCCTCGGCTCTCGAGCAGCGCGGGCCCTGCCGCTCGCCCGGAGCCCCGAGCCGCACGGAGAGGCCACCGACGTCACGTGCCCGCGGCCGCCTCGGCCCGCCCGGCGCCGGGGGACGCGGAGCGGGGAAAGGCTGGAGCAGCCGCTCCGGGCCGGGGGGCGCACGCCGGAACCACCCGGCCGGCGCGGGGAGCGGAGGGCCCGGAGCGCCTCGCCATTCGCGGCGGAGACGCGTGACCCGGCACGCCGCTGCCCGCCCCGCGGCCCGCCGGGTACTGTAGTTCTGCGGGGCGGAATTCCGCGGCGCACTGGCGCCGCGCCTGAGGGGCCGGGGCTGCCCGCAGGGGGCTCGTAGGGAGTGGCTTCGGGGCTCCGAGTTCGCCGGCCGCTGCCGCTGTGACCTCCGGGCGCCGCACTGAGGGACTGAAGTGAGTGCAACGCGCACGGGCGAACGGAGGTGCAAAGGAAAGAATTCCACTTGAGATTCCGGCTGTAAAAGGCGGGAGAGTTTTGTGGGAGATCCTTGAAAGAAGGATCCCAAAGAAGA